CAACAGCGACTCTGAGAGTTTTAAGAGGATATTATGCCCATGAAAAGAGAGTCAACTACTCACAGACTCCAAGAAGGGACTAGTGGTTACCAAAGGGGAGGGCTGTGGGAGGGCAGGTGGGGAGGGAGGGAGAAGGGGATTGAGGGGTATTATGCTTAGTACACATGGTGTGGGGGATCACGGGGAGAACAGTGTATCACAGAGAAGGCACGTAGTGGATCTCTGGCATCTTGCTGCACTGATGGACAGCGACTGCATTGGGGTATGGGTGAGGACTTGATAATATGGGTAAATGTAGTAACCACATTGTTTTTTTACGTGAAACCTTCATAAGAGTGTATATCAATAATACCTTAATAAAAATTTTAAAAAAAAGTCAACTAGAGATCCTAAAGATTAAAGTTGGACTGTTGAAACAAAAACTCAGAGCTAGGCCAAATAGCAGAACGGACACTATTAAAGAATAAATTGAAACAGCAAGGTTGAAATGAGGAATTCAGCCTAAAAGGACAAGAAGATGCAAAATATGAAAGAAAAATTAAGAAATACAGCAGAAGATCTAGAAGTTCCAATATTCATGTAATAGGAATTCCACAAAGAGAGAAAATAGAGAACAGAGCATAAAGACTACTCAAAGAACTATTGGAGAACAACTTCTCAGAACTTAAGAAACTCATGAGTCTTCAGATTAAGGACATGTAAGTACAGAGCAACATGAAAGGAGAAAGACCTAGGTCCTCATGAAATTCTTGATTCCCCCACCAAAAATCTCAAAATTTCAAATGATTCAAGAGCAAAGTAAACATCAAAGAAAAATATATTATCTTACAATAGAATAAGAACCAGATTGGCAAGATTTTTAATAGGCAACAATGAATGCCAGACAATAGATTTGCCTAGTCTATCATACAACAGCCAATGGGTGGAAGCAACCCAGTGCCTGTCAACAGATAAATGATTAAACAAAATGTAGTATATACATACAATGGAATTTTCAGCCTTAAAATGGAATGAAATTCTGATACATGCTACAATATAGATGAACCTTAAAAAATAAGCTGGACACAAAAGGATAAATATTGTATGACTCCACTTATGAGGTACCTAGAATAGGCAAATTCATGGAAACAGAAAATAGAACAGAAGTGAAGTTACCAGAGGTGGGGGAGAAGTGGTAATGGGAGTTTCATTAATGGCTAAGAATTTCTATTTGGAGTAATGAAAAAGTTCTGGAAATAGAAGTGGAGATGGTCGTAAAATATTGTGACTATACTTAATGCCACTGAGTCGTACACTTAAAATTAAGAATATTAAATTTTATGTTATGTATATATTAACAAATGAAAAAGAAAAAAAGAAGTAGGAGACTTGAATAGACCAATAACCTTAGAAAAAATTGATGTGAGAGTCAAAGGTCTGCCTCAAAAATAGGTAACATACCCAGACGGTTTAATAGGCAAGGTGTACCAGATCTGACAAAGGATTAACACCTAGAATACATAAAGAATGCCTGAAAACCACTAAAAAAGGGATAAATATCTCAACAGACAAATAAAGGAGATCAACAGGCATTTCACAGAGGAAATGCAAATGGTAAATAATCAAACAAAAATAAAACTACTCTTATTTTTATTTCTATTTTAAAAAATTTTTTTGTTTTTAGTTATTAAAATTTTAAATGCGTATAACCTATGACCCAGAATCTATCCCAGAAAAACACTTGCAGGTGTGCAAAGGAGGTAGATTTTAAAAATTAGAAGCAAATAATATAGTGATATGAAAATGGTTAAATAATCTCTGGTAAATTATACTATGGAATTCTTTGTGTCATTTAAAAAGAATAAGGTAGGTCTATATATACGGATGTGGAAAAATCTCTAATATACATTGCTAGGCTTAAAACAAAAAGCAAGTTTCAGAAGAAAGCATATGGTGTGAAACCATTTATCTAAAACAAAGAAAAGCAAAACCACAAACTGAAACTACAGATTTATGTAAATGTGCAGATAAAAATCTAGAGAGTTACACATTATAAACTGCTAAGCTACTACCTCTGTGGGTAGCACTGGGATTTGAGGTGTAAAGGGGACTTCAGTTTCTTCTGTATATTTGCCTTTTTTTAAAAAAAGAAAAAATATATATGTATTATTTATGTAACTAAAAACAAAGAAACTTAGGGAAAAAGAGGCCTGTAGCAATCAGGCCTTAGTATGAAGATAGAAGTGAAAATGATGGCAGCTGCTAAGCGCCAGCCTCTTCATTCCTTTGTTGCAAGAAAGGTTAGGACTCATTAATCACCATTATCTCTGCCTTTTCAGTATTCTCCTTGCTGCTCTTTCTAATAGAAAAGACACTAAATTCACCATCCTTCAGCCTCCTTTAGAATCTTTACCCTCCTTCTCTCTATAAGCCTTTCTTTCTACTGGCTCTGAATCTGGGATTAGAACTAAAACAGAGGTAGGAAGCAAAGAATAAGGTTAAAGAGGCTAAGTCGTCATTTTAGCACCTCTTAAGTTCTAGTGGCAGACTATATTTTCCAAATATTGCCACAGCAATATACCCCATCCCATGGGATCTTTTCACCAATATGACTTTGATGTTCTTCTTGTTGGGGACTGGGAGAGATTATGTTTTTTCCTCTTGACTCGTGGCGGCCTTGTGACTACAGAAGTGATTGCATGTGACTTCTAAGGCCTGATTCTCTTGGGAAGCTCATTCTTGACAGCCAACCACCTCAGCAGGAGGCAGCCCAAGCAGTCCATGGAGGGCAAACCCATTGAACTCCCAGCTGGCAGCAAGTACCACCTTGCCAACCGTGACAGTGAGCCCATGGGTCCTCTGGCCCCTTCTTGAGCCACCCAGCTGGTGGTGCATGAGCAGTGACGAGCTTCTCCAGCTGTGCCAGGCCAAATTACATGAGCAAAATAACTGCTGTTGCAAACCATTAAGTCTTGTAGGGGTTGCTTACAAGGAAAAGACAATCGGAACAGTTTTCCTCACAAATGTGGACAACTGAGAGTTGTCCATTTACATCACGTGCCAACTTCTACTCCAGTGATGCCAACCAGCAATGATCTAACATAGGTAGCTTTAGAAGACATGGTAAGGAGTCAGTAAGGGGTATGGTAGATGTGACATCTGCATCACACAGAATCAGGTGATGTCTGAGGTCCCTTCTTACAAGAAGATTCTACAGTGGACATACTGAGCTAAGTGCCTTTTAGGACCATCTTCTTTTTACCTTTCAGAAAGCTGCCGGATCTGTGGAATTCCCATATACTTGTGGAAGTGCTCCAGAACATTCATCACACCCTGAAGAAGATTAGCAACCTCTCCATACTGTCTTCGCCTGGTCATGGCTCTGCAAGGAAATAACAAGTTGAGAACTCTAGAAAAGCACTAGGGGTACAAGATACAGAAGTGAGGTAACCAGACAGATATCTACTAGATTTAGTAACCATTTACTGAGCACTGAGTATGCATGGTGCTGTGCAATGCGGGTGGAAGAGTGACTTAGTCCAAATCCTCAAGGTGACATCGTTAGTAAGGGAGAGCCAAGTACACATCTAACATACCCCAAGTAAGGTGAACTGAGTTCTAAATAGAAATGTAAGTTACATGCTATGGGAGGTTTAAAAGATCGTGTGAGTGATGGATTCTCATTGGATAGGGGAAGGAAATCTGGGAAGATCATGGATTTGGATTGGATATTATGGGATTAGGAGGCTCTTGACAGAAAACGGACATAAAGATGTTACCATCTAAGATTAACAGCATATGGGCAAATCAAACATCTTCCCAGGATACAATAAAGGCATTTCCACATTAACTCAGATCTGTAGATTGTAAGCCAATGTTAACTCTGTGTCAGATGTGTTTACTTTGCTTACTGCTAAGGTTAATGAGGCTTAAATAAAGGAATGCTGATAAAATCAACAGTTACAGCAAGGAAGGACAAACTACTCAATCTAAATTTTTCACTTGGGTTGGGCTTTTAAGTTAAATATTTAATTTTTGACTTCCTTTAAAAGGCATTCTGAAAGACAGGATCAAGTTCAAGCCAAGGTGTTATGTCGCCACCACTGTCTGGTCTGAGAGTTTGGTGGAAAACACTGAGCATGTGGGGGAAGGACCAGGAAACCGCTCTTCCAGTCTCCACTGGCCCTCTGATCTCTCCGATCACTACTCACAGGAGAGTGAACCAGGGTTGGTTAAAACTCATATGATGCCTGTGAGAGAACAGGAAGGAGTCTGACCCCCTCCTCTCCCAACTCTGGGCACTATATCTAAATTTCTGTGAAGATGCTCTTTCTCTGTCTATAGATGAGGTTACAATGAGGCTGGAGCAGGGGCAATTCTCAGCCTGAGGCAGACCACAGAAGTGAACTGTCATGTTGTAATCTTGCTAGTAAAAGAGGCCTTTGGATTGCTTCTTCATGGTAAATAACCAGCCAGCTCTTCTTTTTAATACCATTTCTGATGTCCTCATGTATCATTGCTTACAGTTCCTCTATAAATCAAACAGGAAGCTATTGCCTTTGAAAAAGTGGGTTGCGAAAAAAAGTAGGTTGAATGATAAATCAAAGATCTATTTCCACACAGTACATTCAATAACAGTGCAACTCAGCCCAACACAAGCAGGCACATGTGCCAAGGCAGGTGCCACAGGGAGTGATGATGGCCCGGAATGACCTTTCCGGCCTTGATGGCGGAGGTCTGCCCCATGGAAGTGATCTGTGTTCTGATGTCATTCTCCACCTGCCCTCCGAGGCCCCTTTACACTCACTTGCACCTACCTCACTTTAGAGTTTCAGATGTTTGTTATGTTTTGCACATCAGGGAGCAAAAATGGTGACTGGACATTTGAGACCAATTTGCAGAAAGTGGGGCAGGATAGTGAGATTTTCCCGGCTGAGAAGTAAATAAACCAACAATGCCATTTTCTTTATGCGACACACTCACTTCCCGTGGACCCAGAAGAGAAAGTCAACATTGCTTACTCAAGGGAATCGACGCCACCTGCTAACATGTGCAGGTGGTTCAGTGTTGTGATTGAGGTGGTCAGGTGGCGTTTGGCATGATCTAGCTGCTTAATATCGCGGGTGATTTCTTTAACCTAAATATTGAAAAACCACAGGAGAAGAAGGAAGAAGGTTAAGAAAGATGTAATCCATCAGCAAGAAGCTCCAAAAGAAAACAATGAGAATGGAGCAAGGGAGAAAATAGCTACAGTTAGTCCTGGGAGAAAATAGACATTTTCATGATACATAATCAAAATAATTACCAATCATGCCATTATAAATTAAAGTTGTACTTCTTCAGCAGACTTTATTCAGGATTACAAAATCCTTAGGTGTGAGAATGAAATGAACTTTTAATTTTTCACCCCAAATGGAGTGATCCAAAGAGCAATTTAGTATGGAGCATACAGGGTCTGCAAGCCAAATACAGCACATCTCCTCTAGAACAAGGTCAGAAGAGTATGCCTCCTGACACTGGGCTCTTAGGTTCAGTACAAAATGGACAGATGAGTTGGCTAATTCCATGGAGATGGTCTGTATTCCAGGAAATAGCATTTTTACCTGAACCCCAGTACTTTCAAATCAGGAAGACAAAACCATAACCCTCGTAATGTAAGCTTAATATGTAACGTAGTAAGAGGAAGGTATAGTCTTCGGGGAGGGAGAAGGCAACTGGGGGAGTAAAACTGGGACAGCGTGTTACAGCAGGTCCAAGAGAAAGAAACTCTGTATCTAGAATTGTAAGTATATTTCAGTCATTAGAAAAGTGCATTCAGTAGTGAAGTGGGAATAATTCTCCAACTTTATTTATACCTAGATGGAATTTTTCACTAAAATGCTTGAGTTCATGTTTATAAAAAAATTTTCTGAAGAGCAGTTGGGTTTCCCAGGTTCTCTGATACCTGGAAGGAAGGGAGCGTATGCATACCAGGCACAAACATTCAAGTCACTGGAAAGATCTATCTCCCATTAAAAGTGAGAAACCTGGTAGTGAGTTAAGTTCATGCGACCTGTTTTTTTAGAGTTTGATCACCCTAGGTGAACTCGAAACGAACATGACCCACTTAGCTCAGTGCCATATCCACAAACCTGCAGGGCTGACCTGGATCTTGGCAGCCTCTTTCACGGGGACTTCCCCATCAAGCCTGTTCTCTCTTTAACCCTCCGGCCATCATAATTTCTCTATTTCTATTGTGCAAGGAAAAAGATAGGTTAAGAACCTAGCACCTCTTTGCTGAATAACTGAGTTTGGGGAAAAAAATCAGGAGTGGTGTAATAAACTAGATAGAGGAGTTTGGCCCTATAACCTGATCATTCACTTCTAAAACTGATATTAGAAGTTTCTATAGTGCTACAAAAAAATCTCTGCACCCTCTTCTAGGTTCCTGAGCTCCAGTGCTAACATTGGGAGCCTTTCTTTCACTTCTGGGTTGAAAGTCCCAGTCACCTATGACTCTTCTCATTCCTGCGTCATTAGTCAGCTACTGAATTCTGAGTATTTTTCCTCCACCTCATCTCAAGATCTGTCCCTTTCTACTCCTTCTTCAGACCCTCACTGTTCTGCACTGGAGCCCCCTGGGCTCTCCATTCCCGTGGTTTCCCTCTTTCTCCATCACATACCCTGTGCTTCTTTAGACAAACTGAACTATTTGTTAATCCCTAAACAAAACCTTAAATGGCAGCTCACGCATGGAGGGCTCAGGTCAAACTGGTCTGCAAACAGAACACCCATAGTTAATTTACCTCCATTGTTACCCATGGGCAGCCAAAAAAGGGCAGAACATGGCTCAGCAAGTTTTGGAATCCAACAGCTCTAGGACTGAATCCCAACTCTTTCCACTCCACTCACCAACTCGGTGTTCCAGAATGGGCTGCTGAGTCTCGCTGAGTCTCAGTTTCCTTATCTATGAAGTGGGTAACCATAAAAACCACCATGATAATAAAACCTTGTTTGCAAGGCTATTGTGAGCACTACATTAGATTATTGTCTAGAGGAGTTGGCGTGGTGTCTGGCACACTGAAAGAGCTCGAGAAATATCAGTTCTCCCTTTAGTCCTACGTCCTCTTTCCTTTAGCAAAGCACTGCAGAAAAGCACACTGCTTTAAAATAAAACATCTCCTAACTTTAGAAGCAGCCTACTCAAACTGTTATTGCATCCCTCCTGAGCTAGAGGAGGGAACCTAGTCCAGAACAGCAGATTGGAATTACAGGAATATCTAAGTAAGAAATCTGAGTACAGTAAACTCTAGCAGAAGTCACATCTGATCATGTCACCTGATAATCGAGCTTCAGGGACATGTGGATGGTGCTGAGTGTAGCACATCCTTGGGGAAAGAACCACAAATCTAAATCCCTCTCTGATGGCAAACAGCTTCCTCTCAAAGGCTATTTAATTCTGTGGTAAAGCACAAATACTATTTTCTTTCCTTTGATGAAAGTTTTCTTCCTTTGACCACTAGTTTGCCAGTGAAGGTCCCTAACACTCCTGCCTGGGAGTAGGAGCAGGAAGAGCTAATGATAAGAACAGTATCAACAGCATTACTCAGGCCTGACTGTGTGCCATGCATTACCCTCACCAAAGCCCCACAATTCTATGATGAGCATGTGACTATTATCTCCATTCTGTGGCGAGGAAACGCAGGTACAAAGGGGTTAATAACTTGCCTAAGGCCCATGGTAAGCAAGTGGAGTCTGACTTCAGAGGCCATGCTTTCCACGACTACCTCAAACTGCTGTTCCTCATCCCCCTCAGTTGAAGGCCTGGCCCTCCCATCCCACACTCCATATCGTTTCCTTTCTTGCCAGATGGCCACTGAAGAGAAAGATACGTGGAAATGTGACCTCAGATCTGTGCCTGGAGTGAATTATAATAAGATGTAGAGAGAGGAGTTTGTAAAGGTTTGGGAGTTTTTGTAACCAAACATGGTAGGGGTAAAAGATGACATTAATAATGGCTCCCATTCATGGAGCAATTAACATAGGCCTGGTACTATGCTCAGTACTCTTCATACGTTTTAATTCTTACAACCCTTTGAGGTAGACATTATTATTCTTATTTTACAGTTGAAGAAATGGGAATTCAGAGATAATTCAGAGACATTACAGCCCAGGAGTTAACTGGCATTGTGCTGGCTAACTAGTGTCTCCCAAGGAGTAGGAGTGGGTCAGGCTGGATTCTTGGTCAGTAGAGGGGCCTTCTCAGACACTATTGGAGGACACAAATTTGTAGAGGCAGAACTTAATCAACACCATAAGCATGTATCGTGGCAGGAAACATCCCACCTCCCAGGTCCAGAACCAGTTTTCATGTGATACCAAGTTACATATGGTATATCTTTACTGAGAAACACATGACACAAACAAATGCTAGAGAAAGAATTTCAAAATGACTAGGAAACTATTTTGGGGAAAGAGGGAAACTTTTCATATTTAAAGAGAAGACAGTAGGGATGGTGAGTCACTGCACCTCTAGCAGCCCCTCCCGAACAGGTCTGGAAGGTCCTCCCAGGGCTTGGCTTTAGAGCTGTGGGTGCTGTGGTTGGCAGAGAGTGGGAGCAAAAGCCCATTAATTAGGATGACTGGACAAGAAGCTAACTTGCTCTTCTAGTGCAAAAAAGTTAGAAGGAAACCTACACTTACCATTTGCTCTGATTTTTCTGCTTTGTCTTTGATATCTTTGATTTTGCTGAAGAGCTGCTGAATAGCTTTCTGGGCCTCTTCAAGGGCCTAGAATAAGAGAAATAAATGAAAAACAAGAAGCAACACCAGACAGCATCAGTCACTATACATAATCAAGTACAGCTTCAGAAGAATATTATCATAAAGCTGTCTTTACTCTTTGTACTTATACTGACAATTTTACTGACCAAAGTAGTTGCAGAAATAGATAGAGGCCAGCATGTGGATACAGGCAAATAGTCAAGATTCTTGCTAATCTGAATCATAAAGTTTTAATTTATGGTTTCAGGTCCTTTTAAGTCATTGATCAAGACATTTAAATCTTTGATCCATTTCACGTTTGTTTTTGTGTATGGTCTGAGAAAGTGGTTCAGTTTCCTTCTTTTGCATACAAATCCATATAATCCAGTGTTCCCAACACCATTTATTGAAGAGATGGTTCTTTTCCCATTGTATATTCTTGCTTCTTTTGTGCAGATTAATTGATCATAGAAGGATGGGCTTATTTCTGGGCACTCTGTTCTGTTTCATTGATCCATGTGTCTATTTTTGTGCCAGTACCATACTATTTTAATAATTACAGCTTTGTAGTACAGTTTGAAATCAGGGAGTGTGATGCCCCCAACTTTGTTCTTCTTTCTCAAGATTGCTTTGGCTTTCAGGGTCTTTCGTAGTTCTATACAAATTTTGGGATTATTGGATCTAGATGTAAGACCTGAAACGATAAAATGCCTACAAGAAAGCACAGGTAATAAACTCTGGGACATCAGCATAGGTAATTTTTTCTGGATAAGTCTCCCCAGGCAAGGGAAACAAAAGCAAAAATAAACAAGTGGGACTATATCAAACAAAAAATCTTCTGCACAGTGAAGGAAGCCATCAATAAAACAAAAAGGCAACCTACTGAATGGAAAAGATATTTGAAAATTATATGTCTAATAATAGATTGATATCTAAAATATACAAAGAACTCATAAAACTCAATACCAAAGGAGAAATAATCTGATTAAAAACACGAGCAGAGGACTTGAATAGACATTTTTCCCACGAAGACATACAGATGGCCAACAGACACATGAAGAGATGATCAACACCATTATTCATCAGGGAAATGCAAATCAGAACCACAATAAGGTATCACCTCACATAAATCAGAACAGCTAGTATAAAAAAGAGAGTAAGTGTTGGCAAGGATGTAAAGAAGGAAGAACCCTTGTGCACTGTTGGTAGTTATATAAACTGGTGCAGCCACTATGGAAATGATATGGAGGTTCCTCAAAAAATTAAAAATAGAAATACCACATAGTCCTGTAATTCCACTTATGAGTATTTACCTGAAGAACACAAAAACACTCATTTGAAAATATATATACTCCCCTATGTTTAACACAGTATTATTTACAATAGCCAAGATATGGAAGCAACCTAACGGTCTAGATGAATAAAGATGTGGGGTGTGTGTGTGTGTGTGTGTGTGTGACACACAAACAGAATATTACTCAGCCATAAAAAAGAATGAAATCTTGTCATTTGCAACAACATGGATGGACCTAGAGGGTAATATGCTAAACAAAATAAATCAGAGAAAGACAAATACCATATGATTTCATTTATACATGGAATCTAAAAAACAAAATAAATTAACAAATAACCAAAAACAGACTCATAAACACAGAGAACAAATTGGCGGTTGCCAGAGAGATGGGGGAATAGGCGAAATAAGTGAAGGGGATTAAGAGGCACAGACTTTCAGTTATAAAATAAATAAGTTGTGGGATGAAAGGTACAGAATGGGGAATATAGTCAACATTATTGTAATAACTTGGTATGGTGACAGATGGTAGCCACACTTATCATGGCAAGCATTTTGTAATATATATAAATATGTTTTACACTGTAACTTTTATAACTATTATAATATATATAATACATATATAATATAAATAATTATATCAACTACACTCAATTTTAAGAAGCTTTAATTTAAAAACTATTTCCTTGTAGCTCAGTGATTACTATATGTTGCTTATGATTACAAAAAGGACATGCACGTATGTGCACGTGTGCATGTGTGTTGTGTATGTGTGTGTCTGCATGTGCACACTGGCATAGTAAAAGCCTGCAGAGAGACAGGTGGCTCTAAGTTAGAGGAAGCTCTGAATTTTGAAAAGTTTCAGAAGACTGTACCTCCAAAAAAAAGAGAATCACAACTGTGCATGGGGATTCCAGAACTGCAGCAAACTTTAAAGACATTTATAGCGTCCCATTTGGAAAACTATGAAATGAAGTTAGAATGGGACACTTAAAGCTAATGGTGAGCCAAATGTTTCCACTGAAATAAAAACCTAAGATGGATCATACACATTAAAAGCATCACAGCCCACAGTAGCTTCCATGTGTAGGGGAAGCAAAATTTGGGGAGTTGTGAGGGTGCTAAAACCACACACATGCAGAACACATGTACTTAAAAGAGATGCAGCAGCCAGAAGAACTCATGCTTCATTGCATCAAATGCACTTTATTTATTTTGGACTTAAGAGTGGTCTGTCCTAACTGGGCCTCACCAGCCCTTTATGAATGTAATGATAAGGTCAATGTAACCCTAGAGCTGTGTGTGGCCCTGCACAGGGAGAAAGCCAGCCCTGAGGATACCCTAATGGAACAAGAGGAAAGCAAAGCTGAGATGAAGGAGAGTGACAAAAGTCCTGCCAAAATCATCTGAACCTGTGCGTTGAGCTGTACCCAGTGGGAGGGCTACCTCTACACTGTGAACTAATACATTGGCTGCTTTGCTTGAAAAAGTCCTCAAACAGCAAACTTATACTGGCTCCCTCTGCAGGAAATTCCTTCTTGTCAGAAGCAGGGATTATATCTCCCTTTCCTTCCCAGGTTTCCTGGGCTGTCCATTTTCGGTACTGGGAACCCTTTCTTATAGTGGAGCTCCCTGCCCTGTGTGTGGCTCCATCCCAAACATAGCTTTCTTTTGATCTTCTTCCACCTCCAGGATTCACAGGAATTTCCCATGTGGGAACAAGGATGCTGAGCTGTATTACAGCTTCTGCAGTGAAGTCCAGAAGCTCCTCTGAGAAGTCATTCCTTAGCCCCTTTGTCATCCAGTCTGAGGGGACACTACTGAGAGAGCTGCTCACACAGCCTCCAGGGGCAGGCGGGGTCAGCCTGCCTTTGCTCTGCTGGATCATCTCTACCTACGAAGGTTTGTGAGCCAAGGAGCTTTTATACTTGTAATTTCTGCCACCTGGACACAGGTATTTTAACCATCATAAAGTTTGGTCTTGAAACAACAGTGGCATTGCTATCAGAGCCAAAAACTCATAACTTGAGAGAATTTACCCAAAGAGTAGGAAACAATCAAAAGGGGTAATGGAATGGAATTACGCTACACTGAGCAGCTCCTCTCAATCCCATTCCACCCCAAAAGGACACCTTGCTCAGTAACTGTTTCCACTCAGCTTCCTACCATCCTGCCTTTCTCATTCCAGGATTTAGCCCCCCTGAAATAGCTGTATGTTGTGAGAAAACCCTCCACTTCCCAGCCATGAGGCGGGAGCCTGAGGCCTGTCTCTACTGTCACAAATTAGTTGTACAACCTCTTTGTTTTCTCATCGCAAAGTGGTGATGATGGCACCTCTTTCCAGGGTGTTGGGAAGATTTGATAACATAACAGGGTCAAAAGTTGCACAAATATGAGGTTTATTTCCAGGACTTAAGACCAGCCTGAGCAAATGCATGCAAGTATTATGTATAGATATATACATAATTTATACAAATATGTTCACAGTATTCTCCTCTGACCACACCTTTTCCTCTCAGTACAACCATTAGGACTGCCAGTGATCTGACACTTTCTATCTCAAGCCAGTCCCTCAATGAGTCCACCCATTTTACCTTCCCAGCCCTCCTAAGAATTCCCTTCCTCATTTTTAGTATTCACCTCCTCAAAACCAGGACACAAAGATGCTTTTGAGTACTGCTTACTACCATACCACCCAACCTTAGCTTTCATGGTTATGACAAACCACAATAAAGTTCTAACAAAATTAAAATGATAATAAGGAATACATTATCAAATGTCCATTTACAACCAAAGGAGTGGACTTTCAAACTAAAATGCTCAATAAAGCTGCTGATCACGTGCAAATCTTTGGGTCTCCAATGGCCTAGTTCAATGCCACATCTTCACCACCCTTTCCCCCAACTTCCCCTTCCTTCTCAACACCCTCCCCCATAAACTTGCATGCAGCACACAGTATAATCAATTCATTCATCATCTGGGTGCCCGTGGTCCTTTATGTAATTAATAAACATTTTAGTAATTTTTTGTGGGTCTGTCTACCTTTTGGTTGGACTATGGACCACTCATAGTGACTCCCTGACATCTAGGGCAGTGCCCAGAATAATAGAGTAGGTAGCCCCCATATATTGGGTTGAATTTTAAAACCAATCTGTCATGGTAGACACACACACACACACACACAAAACCTCCTCTTTGCTCTCAGGCATGGTCAGGCAACACATTAGCCAAAGTAGTCATGGTTGTGCCAGCATTTCAACTGAAGACCTTCTTTTATGCAACATAATTCAGTTTTGCAATTAGAAAAAAACTGCACACTGAAAAAAATACTGGGTTAATTAACCTAGGAAATCAGGAAAAAATTTTTAACTTGCCACACCATCATTTTGCAATGTTGTAGCCAGAGAAATAATTACTGAAATTACTGTTTTATATATATATGTATGTATTTTTTCATGTTTTATATATATGTATCATGTCACCTACCTCAGAAGCCTTGCCTTTAGTGCTCCCCTTCCCCATTTAAGAAAACACTTTAAATGACTGTTTCTTAATAAACTGCATTTTTTAGATTATGTCGGATATTTGAAAACATTAGATGACAATTTTTCCTTCTGAGATAATTGCAAAATCATTGTTTTCTTTTGGCCACGTTCTTCAGGAACCAGAACCAATTTTTAATATACACTTTATTCAAACACTACTCTATATGAAGACACCAACCTGCAGGACTCCC